ATATATATATAGAGGAATCATGCCCATCCTTCATAGGCAAATATATTTTTTGTTTTTGGAAACTATAGATAGTGGGCTAGTTTTAGTGTGTGTGTGTGTGTGTGTGTATGGTTTATCTATCACGCGGAATCCACCCGCATAGCACCTTCTTATGAACGTGTGTTCTCTCTCACGAGATTTTTCTCTCTCTCACACACAGTTACCTCTTAATATACGGCCCCAACACGTTTAGTTTCCAGCACATGAATATATATATATATATATATATATATATATATATATATATATATATATATATATATATATATACTACCACGTACCCATTTTCTAGCCATTCAGTTTTTTGCCCCCACTTCACCTGAAATACGCATGCAAATTGGCAATGCAATAATCTGGTGGTTGTGACATCTCATCTCATGATTTATATATGTCAATATTATATTCTTTGAGATTGTACGATTTAGAGCAACTTCAATCCAAAAATATTGAAACATTGCAAAAATTAAAATATTAAAATAGAACATCATTTGATAACTCCATTATTGGAGTGGAAAATTTCTAGCTTGAATTATCACAATGGTGGTTAAGAGCAACTCCAATGGTAAAGTATCAAAATCGATCATCAAATATTAATTTGATACTCGTTTTATTATTTTGATACTCATTTACTCCAACTGCAAGCATTAAATGAATCATCTAATTTTAAATATAAGCATAAATATATTTAATATTGACACGTGTCAATTTTTAATTGGTTTGTTGGGTAGTTAATGTTTTGATACCTCTTTTTCCAGGATGCATTTTTGCATCTCGGGAAGTTGAATATCAAAATAACTACCAATTTAATTCCCCCATTGGAGATGAAAATTTATATTTTGGAGCATCAAAATAGAAGTTATTCCATTTAATTCCCCATTTAATTCCTCCACTGGAGTTGCTCTAAGGGTTTCTAGCTTGAATTGTCAAGATGTTTTTTTCTTAACAAAACCGAAAACGGAAAAAAAAAAAAAACAAGAAAATAGAAAAAGGAAAAAGAAACCGGCATCTATTTTTTTAATGAAAAATGGCGACTCCATTATGTAATTTATTTTTTCTTCTAATATGTACTCTAAATTTGCCCAACACAAAATCGAAAAATCAGAAATCGAAACTTCTGAAATATATTCTAAAATCAAATATATTCCGATCAAAATAAATGGAATTCAAAGATTCTATTTCAATTTTCATCCCTACCACTATGCTAAGGCCAAACAATAGATGCTAACTTTACTAAGGTGAGAATGGAGGTGCATTACCCCACAAGAAACGATTAAGACTTAGTCGATAGAATAAAAGAGCGTGCATTCGTTTTTTTATTTCACAAGTTAATTAATGCCATAGCACATTATAAACTATTGGTTATTATTTTTTGGTCATTGGCACACAAATGTCGAATTCCATCGACTACGATAAAAAAAATCGTGTTTGGAATAATTTTCATTATGAATTCATAAAGAGTATAATTTCGTATCTTATATGTAAAAGAAAGAAATGTTCATCGATCCTAATTCCTAACCAATATAATTCCAATGGCATCTTTTTAATTATTTATTTTTTTCAAATGATGTTTTTTTCTTCTCTACTAATTCCTCTACTAAACTATTTCAAAAAACTCACGTACTAATACAAAAACCTGGATCTATATCGGCACAACCGAGAATAATTAATTGTATCGTACCACTATTATAGACGTATTTTTCCACTATTATAAAAGTAATTTTATTTTTATTAAAACATCACATAAATTTTATCATACAATATATATTTCTTATTTCAATTGTTATTTCCATGTATTGAAATAATTTTTTTTATTTTTTAAAAATGCTATTTTGCACTGCAGGGAGAGATACTAGCATGTTCTATAATGGAAATAAATAAAAAAAATAGAAATAAATAAATAAAAAGGATATATATGGTTAGGGTGTGGTTAAATGGTGAAGGAGAAGTGAAAAGGGACGTTACATAACAAGGAAGAGACAATATTGCTGTAGTTCTTTTCTGACCCTACACCTGTTTGTCGCCCCCTCACCACCACCCCCCCCCCCCCCCCCA